CGTTATTACATTTGTTGTAGCTCTCAATCGGCTCTACAAAAAAGGTTATGACAAAAATTTTTCTATCTCTCTTAGATTCCGAGATATTCATTGAAAACTGGCCGATAGTCAAAATTGACTTATACCGTTTTACCACTTCGCTACTGAATTCTAAACGGAATTCAACATAAATAGATAAATTTTGGTTGACTTTGTGCTCAATCGGCCGTCCAGTATTATTGATAATAATTCATTTAGAAGCCCCAACATGACGCAGTCTTTGGAGAAAATGAACTATTCCAGCTGAGAGAGGAGATTAATATCGGGAAAAAAGCTCGAAAAATGAGAAATAAAAAATGAAAATTTTGTGGTCCAATATAAAAATTATTGTGTCAAACCTGTGTAATAAATAATTGACGAATGCATTTGACGGATTAATTTTTAACATCAATTCAAGTTAGAATTCATACAAAAAATTATTAATGATGAATAATTATTTTTAGGGTATTTTAAATTCATCTCTCTCCTCGTTACACTCAACGTCTCAACTGCAGTTTATTCATACTACTTTAAAAATGGAAAATCCGAATAGGTGGGGATTTGAATTGCGGTGACGCATCTTCTGAGCGGCAGTTATAACGGTTTACAAATGCCATTAACCTACCACCCGATAATCATCTTCATTATCATTTACTGAGTGTATATCCAAGTCTATCCATACGTCGGTGTCTCTATCGTACTCTTTTCCCCCTATTATTTGCGGTACACGCGGCGTTTTCACCGTCACAGGGAGATGGCATTTTTCATCATGCATTCGGCATTATGAGGATTCAACATTTCCGCATTGCAAACGCATCAACTCAATTTCTTGACTGTTGGCTAAATAGTCATTTTGAAGCGCAATTAGGCGATTTTTTTTTGTTGATACTCGTGTTCAAAATTTTTTTGTAATTCTATTTTTTTTATTTGAGGAATTCTCGGTATTAGAGGATGACAATTTCATGAAAAAAAATCAATAGAAAGTGTCAATTTTAGTCCAGGTATTTTGTGAAAATTAAAAAAAAATGAGAAAATTGCGGCATTTGATACTAAATATTCAATTGAATTTTATAATAAATTGTAAAATTTCTGCCTTATTTCTACTTAAAAATATTTGAGTTCAGTCATAAAAACATACGTTAATTTGAACGTGAAAATAAAAATGATTTTTCCAATGTTCATAACTCGGAAACAAATTTATCAATTGCGCCCATCCCAAAACTAACAATTGTAATTTCCATGGAAAAAAAATTCATTTAATCAAAAATGAACATTAAAAAAACATCGTGTCCATTTTGATCAGTCCGAGTGAAGCCTCGTAGGGTCAATGTCACGAGACAAGAACTCCACTAGAGAATGCGATAGTTTTTACGAGGCTATTATTGCCGTTGTCCTGGTCCCCGAGTGACTTGTCTCACGTTGCACAGCTTCTTATCGCTCTCCGGGCCTCTCCATTCATTCTCCACTCCACCTAAACCCACTAGGCTCTCTCTCTACTCCGTTCACGGATGTGTAAACACGCCATTCTCTTCCAGCCGAGTCATTCAGAGTTCAGCATTAAAAAAAGTGAAACACTTCTCTCTCTCTCTCTCTCTCTCTCTCTCTCTCTCTCTCTCTCTCTCTCTCTCTCACATTTTTCTTTCACTTTTTTGTGCCGATTGTTTTTGTCATTGCGAAGAAATTAAACCTCCGTTGTTTGCTTTTTTTTTAAATTTCTTTTTTGCCCATTTGCACGATTAAGAAATGGACAAATGCGAGGTGATTTGCCAATGGCAATACCCACAAGTGTTTTTTCCTCGCGAAAGGAGATATCACGACTCAATATTACGTAATTATTGTCGTGTGTAATGACTCCATGCGTATAACAGTTGCTGTAACCGCCGATAGTCTCTTTCTCGCAGAATCCAAACGTCCTTTTCATGTCTTAGCTGTATATAACGCACCGATTCAACACACTGGTGACTCCTTGCGCAACTGTCAATACCGGTCTCGATTTATATGATTGACCTGAATTTTCGATCTCAAGGGGTGTGAGCGGAGTGTTACGTGGGGATATTTGGGTCAAGAGCTCGAAATTTCTTCAATGCTGGGAATTACCTCATAATTGATACCCAAATTTTTCGTCGAGTGAGTCATCTCCTTCGGAAATGGACTTTTTTCTCCTGATGAGGAGCTGCTGCACATTAAATTCTAATGATTATTTGAAACTACTCGACCTTTACGGGGAGACAAGCATCACCCGAAAAATCATTTTACAAAATTGTGTTTCAGGAATTTTTATTTTAAAAAGTGAATACATTTTTCAAGGGATTTAGAAATTTGAAACAGTACATTTTTGGAATTTTATCGAGGTAATTTATCATTAATTTTCCGTCAAGTGAGTTATTTTTTCTTATGATGATCTAGTGCACCCGAATTTCAGAAGTTTCGTTCACATTCTAATGGTAATCAACTAGAAACTATTGGATTTTACAAGCAGAAAAAAATCACCAAAAAATATTGTACAAAATTGAGAAACAAAATACAGAATTATAGTAATTCCAGTGAATCTTGACACCCTTCAGTAATTTTGACTTCATTTCTCCCATAATTCTTCATTGCTTTTTTCTCCGTGCAATCAACTCCTCAGAAAATTCGACATAATTATCAAAACTCATTGAGTTCATGCGCAGGAGATGCGGATATTACTCCCTGAAAAGTTATAACTTTTGACCGACTTCCATGCCCGGTGAGAATCCTTGATGATTAATTTATTCTCGTCACGATAGAATATTCATAAAAACATGACAAACATATTCACATGACCCACTGATCCTCGCACCAGCTGTTATCCACCTGGGGGCTCAATTGCAAAAACCGAGGGACTCAATCTTGTTGAGAAGCATCAATTTCCGCGGATGCTACCGACACTCGGACACGGTTGACTTTCTCGTAACTCTTGAGTTTTCTAATCCAACATTCCTTCAATGAAGATTACACCAAAATCGATTGCTAGAACTCGCATTTGACGTTTTTCTGTTGACGAGACTGTTGATTTTTCTGTAAAAGGCGGGTTAATTGATCAAATTAAATGATTTGTTGATGTTGGTGAGGAAGTCGAGAACAATTACAGTAAAATTACTTCGAAGAATCTTATTTTACATTTTTTTATTGACGAATGTCGATTAAAAATCATCGATCATAGGAATCAAATCAATCGATTAATTAAATTATTGATGAATTCATTAATAATTGTGCAACTGAAGCGACAGTTAAAGTAAAATTACTTCGAAGAATTCTCATTTAACATTTTGTTACTGACGAATGTCGATAAAAAATCACTGAACGAATCAATCTAATCGATCGATCAATTGAATTATTGTTAAACTTACTTCGAAAAATTCTTATTTAACATTTCGCGATTAACAAATATAGTTCAACATTCAGAGTAAAAACAGATTAACTTTTCAAATGAAATCCCTTGCTGGCATTTTGATATTAACAAATCCCTCTCAATATTTAGCATAAAAAAATCAACTTGAATTAAATCATTTATTAAATGTAAAATCATCTCAGGATTTTATCATCGATCAAATCGATTATTCCGTCAGATAAAATCATTGACACATATCCGTGGAAAATACCGGGAATCACTCGGACCTTGACTCATGCCTCTCAGGTTCATTGCCTCTCGATTGGACAGGTCTAAGGTCTCAACTTGTTATTCAAAATGCCAAATAGAATTCTCCTCCTCACACCGGAAAAAACCCAAGCTCATATCTCAACATAATAGAAATACCGACGATAGATTCGCGCACAGGCAAACAAAACGGGCAGCGAATCCAATGAGTGGTATGGATGATAATCAAAGGGACGCGCAATGTCTGTTTTGATGAGAAAATGTCCAACCTGCCATTACGAAAATATGCGTCGGTCTGTGGGATAGCGGTAGATCATCATTTTGCTCCTTCGGTTTTTCTGTTTTTGTACCCACACGTCTATGCGGAAATCACTGGGCTTCATCGTGTGTTTGAGGGTAATTTTGCGGGGAATCCTCTCATGAGATTCCTGCTCTTCCTGCATTGAAAAACCCTATGTGTGCGAATGAACGAAAACAAGGAGTGAAAAACAATGCAATTTAAACGAAAACATCTGCTCGCAGATGAATACATGGAATAATTGGACTAAAATTCACTGTTTTCATAAATTTAAGCGACAATTGCATGCGCATTTTTATTATTGTGAATTTGAATTCAATTCGAGATTAAGTCGTTCATGAAATTTATTGTTCATACCGGAACCTTAAGAAAGTTAAATTTTTCATGTTACTGTTTTGAAAAAATTTTAATTTCAATTTTTTCCGAAGAGTGATGAATTGGAGAGATTCAATTCGAAGGCTTTTTCCAAGTATTCGATACCAAATTAGGGAGAACTTTTAAATAATTAACAATTTAAGTAATTCAAGATTTCAAAATAATTTTCTGACAGTGAATAAGGAAAATTGTTCAAACAGGGATAACAATGTAAAATAAAAAATGAAAAAAATAAAATAAAAAAAATATTTGTTAGAAAAAAAGGGAAAATCGATGTTTATCCCAGATTTTTCCCTCGTCCCAGATGAAAAACCCCAGACAACATATTTCGCTTCTCCTCTCCGTGTACCATCAACTTCTCATCGTTCATTGAGTAATTATCCTCCCCATGATTTATTGCGCCTCAAAAAATGAATAATTGCAACAAAAACAAGGACTTTTTGCACCTCCGAGACGCCTTTGCGTCCCGAGATGTCGATTGCCCCTTGCAACAACGGATGACATCAATTCCATTCCTTGCCACAGTATTTTATGGCCATTGACCTTACACCACGCTAAAAGCCAAGGCTGTCGATCCATGTTAACACGCTCCCCTCAGCTCAAGGAATCATCACTGACCTGGCGATACTCATTAATTGCCCTAATTACCGATTTACGATTCTATTAATAATTCATGATGTCTCCTTTCAGGCAGAATAGCGGCTATTTTGTTCGGCATACTGGCACTCGCCATTGGTATTATCCTCAGTAGTATTCCCTGGGTCGACTACGTTATTTTAAGAGTAAGTAGTCCTTTTTTTAAAGCATGACCGCAATCATTCATTAGAGACTTTTATGCACAAATAATGGTGAAAGGAGTTAAGACTTTTGCTGTTTCTACATCGCGAGAGGAATAGCTTTCACGCTGCATTTTAGTGCTTCATTATGGTCATCATAATTCAATCCTTCAACGCTGGCGACTGCATTACAAACATCTGAAAAGTTTACCCCATTTTTTACAGCCATTTCCGAGAAATAATTTTTCAAGTAATTAATTAGTCACGAGATCTTTTGACAATTGTATTTTTATTTATTTGTTTGCAGCAATTAAGGTTATGGAATGGATCACTGTCGTTCCAGTATTGGCAAAAGCCGGGAGTAGTCAGACTCACCAAAGTTTACATATTCAATGTGACGAATGTTGATAATTTTTTGAACTTCCAAGAGAAACCTAAACTGCAAGAAGTCGGACCTTTTGTTTACAAGTGAGTTTATTTTCTTTTAACTCATTAGTTTAAAGTACATGATCTGTGAAAGTCAATAATGTCATTGATTTTTCGCTAACAATTAAAAATTAATAATTAAAAATTACCGAAAATTTCAGTCAAATTTTTTAACATTTTCCATCATTATTTTCGATTTAGGGGGAAAGAACAAACAATTCTACTGGAAATAAAATGAAATTCAAAATTTTTGAACCGAAGCAAAACAAAAATTTCTCGACTTTCTTGATTTTTCGATTAATTAAACTATATTTATGTGAATTTCCCCGATTTCCATCAATTTTTACAGAAGAATTGAACTACAATTTCCAATTTCAGTGGAACTTTAATACGATAAAAATTTCCGAGTGCCCCGGAAATTTGAGTCGAAATTTTCAAATGTAGAGATATTTTTTCCCTCTCCGCAAAAAGTGAGATCCAATATGATAACAGCTCCCACCGACAATTGCAGTTATTATCCATTTCAAATAAGAAATTTCCTATTAGCACGAAGCACCAGCAGAATCTCTTCTGAAGTAGTTAGATCCGGTGTATTATCATGTAATTTCCCAACGCGGAAATACTCCGTCAATTAAGGTCGATTTCTACAGTACAATTGCCACGATACAGGCGTCAGGAGTACAAACAAAATGAATTAATATATCGCGTGTAATGCCCTCACTTGCATGCAGATTATAAATCTCCCCTAACTATTGCAAATGACGCAGCACACAGTGAACACGTATAATGGCGATTTATTTTCTCAGCAAGTTGAATTTATAGTCGATACAGCCATTTGCCGTGGGTACATATCTAATGTTGAAAATATCATAGAGATTTTGCGAATGAAATACACACGGAGAGAAATTTTTGATAAAAATTATCCTACCGTTCTATAAAAGTGTATCATGAGTCATCGTTTCCTTATTTCTATCCCGAAATTTAGTAAAAATTAATATGTGATGATGAAATTTTATTCTGCGTTAGAGAAATTTTATCCGGATAAAAATAAAAATTACCGTGCCAACCGTTCTAGAATTTTCGTTGTTATCTACATAAAAATTACTGGACTGGAAGGGTAAAATTTATTATGCGTCAGGATAAAATTTCTCTAACGTAGAATAAAATTTGATCATCATATATTAATTTTTACTAAATTCCGGGATAGAAATGAGGAAACGATGACTCATGATACACTTCTATAGAACGGTAGGGTAATTTTTATCAAAAATTTCTCTCCGTGCAAGTGAGTGCCGCTTCCTCACGTTCGACCGAGGCCATTCTATCAAGGATCGCATTATGCTGAAAAATGGCTGGATTGAAAAGACCGTACGTGTCTGTTGTCGAGGCAAACATCAAAATTACTCTTTCCACGATTCAAACGGATTATATTCATTACGGTGACTTGGATTGTACTGTGAAGAATTCCCAGGGTTATTCTGCATGTCAACATTGCAGTGAAGATGAAATATGACACGACAATTAGAGATGAAAATCTGTCTCTTAGTCAGCAGTTCTATTCATTAGAAAACTCATTATGAATTTATCTAATGTTTTACGATGGATATTTCGTCATAATTGATGAACATGTGCATTGGCAATTCAACATTCATTTGTGTTATTATTGCCAAATCAGCTAAGTTCTGAAATATTTAATGGAGTAGAAAATTGGGAAAATTTGGGTAACTATTACTCTGAATTTTCGAAAATTTAATGGCAAATTACACTTTTCGTCATTCAATCGTATTACATTCATTACGGTCTTAGTCAGCATTTCCATTCATTAGAAAACTCATTATAAATTTCTCTAATGTTTTATGACGGATGTTGCTTCCTAATTGATCGAAATATACATGAGCAATTCGACTATGACTAATTTAAAATCTTTCTTTCCATTGGGCATTTTCAATGCAATTATTATCTAAAGAATCTTGAAATTTTCAACAACTTATTGTTATGAAATTTTCATATATATTGTTATCGACAAATCAGTTCATTTTTGAAATATTCAATGGAACAGAAAATTGGAAAAATTTGGGAAACTATTATTCTGAATTTTCAGCCTATTAAAACTTCAATTGAATAAAAGGTTGAATTTTCAAAAATTTAACGTCAAATTTACTGTTTCCATGATTTAAACCCATTACATTCATTATCGTGACTTGGATAGTGCCGTGAAGAATTCCCAGGGTTATTCTGCATGTCAACATTGCAGTGAAGATGAAATATGACACGACAATTAGAGATGAAAATGTGTCTCTTAGTCAGCATTCATTAGAAAACTCATAATGAATTTATCTAATGTTTTACGACGGATATTTCTTCATAATTGATGAAAATGACTAATCTTTCTTTCCATTGGGAATTCTCAATGCAATCGTTATCTAGGTCATTCAACGAATTAAATTAATAATCCTTAACTGTTACTATACTATTTTCAATATGACTACTATAATAGTTTTAAAATTCAAGCTTTCAGTGAAACATCAATAATCGTTCAGCATGAAGAGCTGAATATGATTGAATTTTCAATACGAACGGATAATTTAATGAAAAAAAATTTAATTAAAACTAAAATATAACAAAAAAATTAATTCACCCATTGTAAATTCCCAATGTCATCTCAGATAACAAGTTTATAAAGCTCTATCAGCAGTAATAACTGACATTTATGTGCACCTTAGTGAAACTGGATACGAATACTTCATAAATATTCCACGATAAAAAAATTGACTCATTGCGTAGAAGTAAAAGTGCACTTGAGCAAGAAATAATATCATGAAATTTGTCGAATCGATTGTAACCAGTGGAATGCAAAAAGGCGCGAGCGGTTTAACTCTCTTGAAAAAAAAGTGCCCAGTGTCAACCGCTGGATAAAAATTCAGCCGCTGTCTGATGCAGTTTAATGGGACGAACGAGTTTTTTATGCCCACTCAGGACGATCACCTTTGTTGATTAAGTTCTGCACTTTATCCTTGTGCGCAGGGAAAAAACGCGATGACGAATAGCATATTTGGGGGCCTCTTTTCCTCGTTCGAAGTCTGTGTAGTGTCAGGGGGATTTTTGGTCGTTTGGTTTTTCACGGATGAGTGGGTGCATTCGATTGGATCCAGAGCAATCGGGTCTGTCTGAACTGAGGTTTATTCTGAGGTTTACGGAGATCTTGGGAATATCAGGTCAAATTGACCTTGCGTGTAGCTCGGTGTCGTATATCCAATATTTATGATATCCCGTGCTCATACATAATGATAAGAATCTCACGTTGATATTGGCCAAGGTGATCCTCCCATGATGTACTGAATTCTTGAAATTGAAATCTCAGGTGCAACTGCATTCGTATTTATTCAACTACAGGTGGAATGATTTTTATTCAGTCTCGAATGAAATGTACGTAATATTTTTAATTTTTAATTTCGCAAAGAGATGACTTGTAATTGTCAGGAGGGCGGAATTAAATTCGATTTAGCGAGGAATTTCATCGTGAAATTACATATTTCACTTCAAATTCTATGGGATTCCAAAATTTCGAGCAACAGAAAGACGAGAATTTCCCAAGCAACAATTAATTGAAAATTCAAGAATATATTTAACTGAATTTGCATGATTTCTATAAATTTTCATGCAATGATTAAATAGAGATTTGCAGTTTGCATTGATTTTTCCATAAAATGTTCAAATTTTCGAGTCAAATTTTCGAATTTTCAAGTTCCCGTCGCGATTTTTCGTGCCAAATCCCGGAAATTTTTATCGTCTTTAATTTCCACTAAAAGTTCAGGAAATCTCGTCATTGAAAAATTAAATAATCCATTGATTTTCCGTTCGAATGAATAACCCTCGACCCTCCCCCTCTAAACAAGACAGATTCAACAATATAAATAGGAAGCGACTAATAACCCTCGTGTAAATAAACTCGTCAGTGAGAGTTCTATCATAAACACCGTACGTGTTCCGCATGCAACGCCCTGCAATAATCCCTGCACTTTCCTCTCCGATAAATCAAAATCCATCGAAGAATCTTGAAAATGAATAGTTTGTAACCCCCAGTTCTCCAGACACGTAACACTGACTGAAAATACTAAGAATAAAACAATCAAACTCGGTTACATGTAATTCCGTCTTTTCCGGTGAGTAAAGCAAGAAAATAAGAAAAACACAGAGGAGAATAATTTCTTGAATAACCGAGGGACTATCTCATATGCCAATGATGATCGCGTGCATGTGCATTTCTCTTCCGTATTGTGCCAACTTCGATACCAGCGTATTCATATCGCTGGAGTTGAGTCAGAATGTGTGAAATAACGGCGAATATTATTGTAAATAAAAAGTGAAAAATAAGTGATTACATTGTCGCAATTTTCGCGGTATTAATTCCAACATTGATCGATTTATGGGAAGTTAAGTATACAAACAGCACTGACACCGTGACCTGCTGATACAAGTGTTGTGCAATAACACTGGGTTACGCAGGGTTAAGTGCACATGCATCTACAATCTCCCTTTCAATCACTTTCCATCTCGACGTTTAAATTTGTGTCACTGAATTACAATCAACCACATCTGACAGACGTAAACATCTATTGTTGGATCTGATCCGGAGGTTCTTCGGACTATTGTTGGTAACAATAGGGAGACAGTGATGGGCCACTGCAATAACTGGATTTTGTTTTTTTCTCATCGCCAAGCTAAAAATTGTTTTCGATTAATTTCAGCGACTTTTAGGTTCAAAATACATCGGCTGTGTGCAGGCGTATAAACCTGATGGTGGAGTATGCTGGTTATGTGATGTAATGTCCATTACTATACCAAGGTATAAGAAAGTGGGTCCAGGAGAGTGTCGTCAGACGCGGAAACAAGAAATGCGAATTTTTCGTTGTTGACGAATATGAGGGAAAGAGAATTAATTTCATTTCGTGAGTGAGATTCAGAGATTAGGGGTAGGGATTTAATTGTGCGGTTTTTTAGGTGATTGCGTGGAGAATGGGAAAGTTTTTTAGTTGATCAGT